CAGACCCCTTAATAATAATGAACAACGGAATACAAATAAAGCATGCTAAAATCGGTAACATTGTTATTTTTTGTTTTTTTTTTGTTTTTTCAGATCAAAATGTATTGTCCGTTCTGTGGCTTTCAGCGGCCAACTTTACACAAATTTTGTAGCTCATGTGGGCGAAATGTTAGTTTTGTCGTGGAGAATGCCCCTAAACCTGCAGGTGAGGACCAGGTGTCATGCCAGGCTGTGCCCAGAGGTAATATGAACAAATAATCAGCTCCCAGATGGGTTCGTCACTTTTTGAGGTCCCCCTGAAACATTTCCGTTGTGGTGCCTGCTATTTGCAGCGCTTTTTTTGTGTTTGCAGCACGTTTTTTGTATTTGCACCGTTTTTTGTGTTTGCAGCACTTTTTTGTATTTGCACCGTTTTTTGTGTTTGCAGCACGTTTTTTGTATTTGCACCACGTTTTTTGTGTTTGCTGCGCGTTTTTTGTGTTTGCTGCGCGTTCGTGTGTTTGCAGCGCGTTTTTTGTGTTTGCTGCGCGTTTTTTGTGTTTGCTGCGCGTTCGTGTGTTTGCAGCGCGTTTCCGTATTTGCAGCGCCTGTGTTGTCAAACTGATGGAGACGTTTTCTTAATTTGTTGTGTTTTTTTATGTTTGCATGTGTTTTCTTGAAGTTGCAGCGTGTTGAGCTCTCTCGGCCACCGTAGGAAAGTCATTGATGCCTGATATTATAACAATGCTGTTTAGAGGCACAATCCTCAACCCGTGGTTCGCAACCCAAAAGTTCTGAAAAGGTCGCGAGGCAGAGTTTTAAATGTAAGCATTTTACAACCATCAAGCTCCTATGCTGATCCATGATCAGATTTCCCAGCCCCAATCCTAGAATTAACCTATTTAAAGGGGTCTTGGGTCTGCAAATGCCTGGCACAAAACTAGTGTAACACTCAACCAATCCAAGAAGACAAACCACCGATGCTTAATTTAAAATTCACTGGCACATCCAATCAGATTTGTGTGATAGGCGTAAACTGCCACTGTGTGCTTGATCATAGCCTTAATTTAAACCTATACTTGATATAGGGTCACGACTGAACTGACATGGTAAAAACTGGGTCGCAGTTAAGAGAACCACTGGTTTCATTTATTCCCATGAGTAAAAAGCTTTTTTTTTAGCTACAGTTTAACCTTGATACGAAAGTCTCTGGCTGGTTTAGGTTCATAAACTGTTCAGTGAATTTTTACGGTGTAGTCCACCTGTATTATTGAAGTGGTCACAAATCCCGGATACTAATACTCTTACATGTCACGTATTGACCGAAGTTCTAGGTTTGTTCCCAAAAAACTTTGTAAAGTTTCACTGAACTACTGTGAACAAATCCAGTGCTTTTGTTCAGATATTCTAATATGCAGTTGTCAGTCCAGATTTAGAAGTGGCAGTGGAATTAGCATTCACTGTCAAAGCAAATAATTTGGTTTCTGGTACAGGTCAGCAAAAACGACATCAGGAAGAAAATCAGACGCCTGATGGGGAAGTGTCACGTTGGCCTGACCTACAGTCAGGAGATCAATGAGGTCTTGGATCGTCTATCAGAGCTGGTGAGGAACCAGGTTGACCTGCTAGCGTGTGGTGTTGGTCCCTGAATGCACATAGCCTTTGTGCCTTGTCTAGTTACTCCACTGTACTGTAGAATCGATTCATGTGACAGCTTTAGATTTGGGTTAAGCCATTTTACACAAAGGACAGCCTGACATTGATAGACAGCTGAGTGAATGGATAAGCTGTGACAACACTAGGCGCCATTGTGTTCCGTATTGCAGAGTGGGCGGGAGCTGTCCATTCGGCCCAGTGGCAGCCGTCATATCAAGAAGCAAACATTCGTGGTGCATGCTGGGACAGATACAACAGGAGACATATTCTTTATGGAGGTATGAGACGAGTCTGCGATTGTTTCGGCTTTTCTCCATATTCTGATGAGCCGACTGTGAGATGCGGTTGCAGTGGCTCACGCACAGCGCCCTTCCGTCGCCAGGTGTGTGACGACTGCATCGTGCTACGCAGCAACATTGGCACAGTGTGCGAGCGCTGGTGGTACGAGAAGCTCATCAACATGACCTACTGCCCCAAGACCAAAGTCCTGTGTCTTTGGAGGCGTAATGGCCAAGAGACACAACTCAATAAGTTCTACACCAAAAAGGTTGGTTTCTTCATTGATGACTCATTTCCAGGATATTACATAGTGCACCACACTTGCTGGGAGCTGTCCATCAAACATTGTTAGATGTGCCCATGCAAGGAGAATTTTACTGCCGTTTCCATGGTGATCCCAGCTTTCTCAGAGGATTGACTGTATTCTTTGACAAATGTTCTTTCCTTGTCTTACTGCTTTGAATGTGACATTCGGTATCTTGAGTAAACTGCATTTTTTGATAAAGCAAAAACAGGTTGCTAATATTCTATTCCTATACTATTTTTTGACATTTCTTTATTTTTTATTAGGCCCCGAATGAGCAATTAGCTTCGCAAAGTCTAGATTTTATGTCCTTCGTGGTTCCATGCAGGTACATTCTTTTAGTGTGTGCAGTACTCCGTATATCAAGCTGAAGAAGATTGTAGGTCTTGTAGGTGTGGAGGTATGTGGGAATGGCTGTTAAAGGGTGTCAGCTAACCCTGTGTGTGCCTGTGGCTCAGTGTCGGGAGCTGTACTACTGCGTGAAGGGGAGCATGGAGCGAGCCGCCGCCTGGCAGCAGAGCATCAAACCAGGTAAGGTCACAAGGGAATGAAGACCTACAGAGCTGTGAATGAGCAGGCAGCTGCAAGCTCACGCTGCTACTTATCGATAGAAATCATATGATCGTAAGGTACTTTACAGTCTGGACCATAGAGGACATTAATTGGGCTTTGATGTGTAACAGTAAGACCTGCATGGTAGAGATGCTAAAAAAGCTGAAGAAGGTCACAGGACCTGAGATGGGTTTAGAACTTTCGTGGGACAGATTGGGGCTTAGGTGTGCTCTCCCTGCAGGGCCCGAGCTGGGGGGAGAATTCCCGGTGCAGGACATGAAGACGGGTGAAGGAGGGCTGCTACAGGTCACACTAGAGGGCATCAACCTCAAGTTTATGCACAGCCAGGTAGCGTTACCAGCCTGCCCGAGCGTCCGCTCACGCATGCCGCCTCGCCAGTCCTTCACCTGCTCTCCCACGTTCCTTCACTCCCTCGACAGTGTGCCACCCACTTCCTCTGGGTGCCAGCCAGCCCCTCCAAAACCATGTCAATTCTGCCTTCTAATTTTGTGACGATTTCGGAAAACAAGAAGTTTGATGACACCGTAGAGGAAGCTGTCATTTTGTGTGTCGCTTGCTTTGATTTGCTTGATGTTCTTATTCTTTAATTTGCTGAAGTCTCTTGCAAGTAAGTTCTCCTTTTTGGAAATTTAGAGAGTTCCAGAGTCCTGGTGAATATTGTACGATGTTATAATATTCAAGCCAGTTTCTGGAGTAAATGTCTTATTACTGCTATACTTATGACTATTATGAATTATAGATTTGGGGATATTAGCTGATGATTATAGAGGTAAGATTAGTACAGACAAACTTGTTTTCATTTGTATGTATATATATTTTTTTTTTCTCATTTTCCACATTACATTTTTTTGGACACCAAAATTTTTTTTTTCTTTTAAGGTACAAAAACTTTTCATCATATATTTATATGTGCCAGCTTAAATTACGGGTCAAAATTTCATGATTTTCATCATTTTAATCCCATCAGAATAACTCACATTGGCTATATCTGGTGTATAGTGCAAAGCACTGTAGTTTAAAAATAAAACATGTACATGTTTAAATTGGGAACTTCCTGTATCTGCCATGAAATGAAAACTTGATATACAGAAGGCTGAGGAGGCCAACTGTGGTAATACAAGTGAGGATCGGGGACGTTTCGCTTCTTTTGTGCTACAGACCTTGCTTCCTTGGTGTATTTCCCAGGGAACAAGATTGCATGAAAAGGTCAAATAAAACACTTTGAAAGTGCATTAAACTGCACCACGCTGTTGAGAATGGCTGAAGCGAGCTACTGAAAGCAAAGCCTCTGTTGGCTGGTATTCTGGTTTGAGAGGTACAGCCTGTTAATTTTTATAGGTAAGTGAAGTTTTTGTATAACATGCCAAACCCACCTGTGATATCAGCTTCGGAAGAATATGTGACACATTCAAAGCTGATCTGAAATAGGAGATTGAAACACTTCATCGGGGCAGAGGGATGCTGTTTTGGGTTTAGTGTGTTTCTGTAAAGCTTTCAGGTCCCTGTTATCCATAAAAGGGTTTTAGAACTGACTGCCCTTACAGAGTCTATTTTCATGATTGCTTAGGTATGCTACTTGTATACCAAGAGAAATAAATATAGTTATTGGCTAGATTACCATTTAAAGAAACTGATTTATTTTTTCCATAGAACGAATGGAATGGTGACACTTTGACAGAGTTCCGGAGTTAGTCGTTAAAGGTCCTGTAATGGCTAAAATAAAAGCAACCAAGGAGCATGAAGATCAGGATATTCCAGCACGGTCGTGTTCGGGCAGGGACTCACTGTTGATGTTTTCAGACCTGTGTGCCTAAGAATCCTTCTGGGCCCAGTTCCGTCTTTGTCCCTAAAAACATGCACGTTTAAAATACAAATTTTGGCTACTGGGTCAAACCTGTTAAACCTACATGGCTGGACAGAATATATATTACGGATCGTAAATATGATTCAGTAAAATTCAGTCTTTTTATTGCAGTTTAAATGGTAAATGATAAATGGCAGTGGACTAGACTCACAGGTTAGTGATCATTGCTGGAAGAGGTATGGAGGAAGTGGAGATGAGGTGCTCTGAGAAAGTGTGTCCAATCGGAGTGTATTTCCTGAAGGTCACGTGTCAATTTTGGTCTCACGGTAACTGTGTAAATGATTGATGATCTGGGCTGTGAGTTGTAGCTGAGTAGGCCCCGCCTGTTCCAGGTGGGGGGGGGGGGATTGCATCCGCGTGTCCACATCTGTGCTCGCCTTTGTCCGGTATTAATCCGAACCATTTCTCCCCCATGCTCCTCCCCCTGCAAGGAGCGGAAGGTACACCTCCTCTGCTATGCTTCTTAGCAGTTCATCCCGTCTGTCATTTCTGTCATTTGCGGATGTTTGTCTCCCGTCCTCTTTTTTCTGTTCTCAGTCCACCTTTGCTCTCCAGCTCATTGATTAGTATGTATGTTGGTTTGTCGGATCCATGTGGTCGAATTTCCATGCATTAGATGCATCATTTGCATCAGAATGACTTTTTAATGCTCCCTCATGCACACTCTTTACTTGCATAAAGTCATGGAAAAGCCAGACTACTTCCCCACCCTGTGTGTTTTTTTCTTTGCTGCAGCGTAATTGAGCTTGCATGGTACGACGTCTACCTTTTTTTTTGGTCAATTAATTTTGTTTATTGTTAATTTCAGTTAATGACCTTGTGGTACTAAAATTGCCAGGTTATGCTAATGGTTTCTCTTCTGTCTTTGTTTTCTATTCTTTTTTTTAGGTTTTCATAGAGCTGAGTCACATTAGAAAGTGCAATACTGTGAAAGGAGTCTTTGTCCTGGAGGAATTTGGTAATTACACCCCTGACTGACATGGCAGTAACTCACACTTGTGGCTCTTGACATTCACAAGTAATTTAAAAAAAATTTTCCTCCCTATCATATGTCATATTCCTGCTATAAAAACGGAAAGGTAACAGAGCTGCAGCTGCAGGACTCTCGGTACTATTTCGCACCTTGTACCTCATATGATATAGAAAAACACAGTTGGAGAGTGTCATCGTAGAATACATCACATTGCCCAGGAATAGAGTTGCCTTGATCTTCGAAGCTCCTTTTGGTCCGAATGTATGATTCCGTGTAGAACCTGAAATAACGGTAATATGAAGACATCTGTTAGACCGGTGTTTCTCAGCCCGGGTCCCAGGTAAGGCCCGATAGTCCTCGTTTTTTTGGGCTGTCTGGCAGGGAGCTGGGAAGGAGCAAAAACTTCCTGAGGGTCCCTGAGGCTCAGGTTAAGAATCCCAGTGTTAGACAATGGCGTCTTACTCTTAATGAAAGGGGATCTACAGGGTTTGGTTTAAAGGCATTTGTTAATCTCAGGCATGGCTGAGAACAGGACAGCGATAGGTGTCTGA